TATGTATAAATATATGAGAGAATGGTTAATGTAAAATCATAGTAAATACATTGAAATATGTTAGGGGACGGTTCGAAGAGAGTGGAGGGTCAGTACACGAAGGATGGGATTAAATCTGATGCGAGGAAAGACGAATTGGAGCACGGGATGAGTCGATTAAAAATTCAAAACCAAGGTTCGGGTTCGGACTATGACAAAACTGGTCAGAGTTCATCCAACGTCGACTCTGGCAGAGGTTCTGCTGTATATTCTAGCGGGAGGCGGCCACCGCCGGAGGACCAGACTCACCCCCCAGGTTAGTTGTCTCCATTCCAATATTTCTCATCAATATAGACTTTCATATATCTAAGATGTCAATTTTTTAAATTCAATGACCGATCGAAATTTCCTTTATCAATTGAACCTTGCTAGAAATAAATGAAAATGTCTAAGTTAAGAATATTGGTAATAAATTTGATTGATGACTTCTTCAAATGTTCTGTGAATTGTTTTCGCAGTGCAAGATTCAGAATGGGTTGACATAGTGGAGACGGAGCTGAGAAGTATCCTGGAGCCGAGAGACGTGCCAGCGATGGCGCATTCCACCCTCTCGGAGAGCGTGTCGTCGGTCACGCCGCCCCTACCGCCGCTTTCGCCCCACGAGAGTCCCAGAACACCGAGAAATCGATACTCGGCTAGGTAACGCTTAACACAGCTCGTCGGCTCTCGCTTAAAACAGAGATCCATCTCGTTTAACTCGTGACCCGATGCCGGATCGTTCGAAGACGTTTCACATAATGATTGATACGATATTTGGTACAATATTTCGTGTAAATTGGAATAATGCAACGTCGATACGAGCAATGATCCGTACAATGATTGACACAATATCTGATATCAATACTAATTGATATTACATTTCCAATAATATTACAATGATTGATACAATGATTCATCTAATGATTGATATAATTTTCAGTAGACTATCTGACAGAACGTATCCCATAATAATTCAATGCAATAATTTTTATAGTAATTGTAAAATGTATAATTAATTGATCTGATTTCGCATGATCTCTACAGACTCTTAACACGCTTGCATGTTTCTCGCCGTTTTAGCTTACCGTACGGATCGAAACCAAATTACACCGATTACGGGAAGGCGATGGACAAGAGAGGGTTCTCCGGCAGTTCGAAGCATCGCGGCCCGTCGAGTTCCAAGAAGGAAGCCGCGAAGAAGTTCTCTCATCGTAAGTGGTTCACCCCTGTCATTCATTTTTACTGGCTCTCCCAGCCCGAGGCAGAAAAAACAACTCTACTTACTATATTCATTTAGTTTTCGGCGTCGAGGCTGCCGATCTCACGTCGACCACCACCGGTCTCGATCTGGACTCCATGTTGGACAGGAGCGATTCAGATTTGAGCACGAACGACGCGAGGACCATTAGAAAACAGCTCGAGGGCTTAGAAAATATGTACAGCGAGGTAAGCGATATTCGACGAAATTCTATCGCGTCAGGTCGATGCATATGAATTTTTTTTTTATCAAGTTGCACGTTTCATATATATGAAACTAATGTTTATGTACCTTCATATAATTATTACATATTTAATATAGTACTTAAGAATATCGTCTGTGAAGTATAAATTTTTGTATTAGATTTCTAATCGCGCTATTAATAAAACTATTTCGATTTATAAAAACGAAGTCATTTATATGTAAAAGAATAAATATAGGAGACGCAAATTTATTTATTATTTTACGTGTTTGACTACACAGGTACTGAAACTACTGGGTGGGAGCGTGAAGAAGAGGCGGAAAGCGAGGGGTCTGGCGAGTTACGGGTCAGTATCGTCGTTGCCAACATCCTCCGTCTCTTCGAGGCCCGTCACGAGGCATCACGATAAACGGAGGTCGCACGCGATCGACGACAGGATGAAGAAAGCCAAAGACATCAAGGTCAGTTGCCCCATGCTCATCTCATTACGCGTGAGCCCTATTTTAAAATGTTCAAGCTTATATTGCATTATCTGAAATAAATGAAATAAGTAAACTGCGGATTTTTATATTAAATGAAACAAAGAATATTAGACACTTCTTTTATTACTTAAGGATGTATTGGCTATACAGTCAATCCCAAAAGTTTATGTACTTTAGAAAAACGCATTTGCTATAATNAGTTAAATATGATTATATGGCATTTCATTGGCATTGACGAAATCCGACCATTCCACTATCGAAACAGCCAACTTTTGGCAAAAAATTTCGTTTTTCTTCAATAACTTCTAAACCCTTTGAGATACGGGAAAATTGTATAGGACCTTTCTTGTAGAGGACGACGAGATCTACAATTTACATGTCAAAATTTTTCGCTAGCATTAATATTTAACGAGTTATTGAGGAAAAACTAAAAAACAGTTTTTTGCAAATTACTCGTTAACTATTGACACTAGCGAAAAAATTTTACATGGAAATTGTAGATCTCGTCGTCCTCTACAAAATGGTCCCATAAATATTCCTCTAAGTCCATCCGTTTGGGAGTTATTGCCAAAAAACAAAAAATTTGCAAAATTTGAAGGAGTACCCCTTGGAAAAATTTCGGAAAAATGTTTTTCCTCAAAATTTCGAAACACGCTTCAAATAAAAGTTCTATTTTTCTAACTTCGGTATTTAACGAGTTACAGAGTATTAACAAACGTTTTCAACGATTGGAGTCGCACGTGGTCACCCTCGCAAGATCGGTGGCACACTTAAGCTCTGAAATGAGGACGCAGCACTTGATGATACAGGTGAGTCAGAGGACTCATTGTTAAACATTCACAAAATCATATAAATGTATTCCTATAGAACATTTAATAACAATATGCAATTTCCAATATTAATATAGAATAATTATTCGTACCGTTTATTAATTATTTGCTTTCACAATTTTTATCTGAATCTTAAATGACATAAATGGCAAGGGTTTGACAAAAGAGATATAATAATGATTTAAGTAATGAATGGAATTGTATTTGGAATGAAAGGAGTCTGGGATATCGCAGACTCCTTGCTGCTTGCTATTCACGATAAAAATTCAATTTCCATTTGAAGTTTAAATAACAGAAATGGTTAGAGGAGAATGAAACAGTGAAGTATTGATGAATGTTTTAATGAGCTGAAATACTTTTAATGAATTAAGTTTGAAATATTTCCCAGGTATTCGCAATAGAAATCCAATTTCTATCTGAACCGTAAATAACATTCTTCTAAAAGAGTAAAGAGAAGATCGATAATGATGAATCTCGTAGCGAGTGGAAATACTTTAAGTGACGGAAGTATGGAATATCGTAAACTTATTACTACCAGGTATTCGCAGGAAATGGAGAACATAAGGGGCGAGATAGCCGCGTTGCGGACGCAGACGAGCATGGCGATGGTGAGATCGCAGTCGCAACCGTTGATCAAAGACTCGGAACTCCCAGCCCTGTCGAATCCATCGAGGGTGAAGAAGCTCACCAAGTTCTTCGGAACGGAACCACCTCTCATCCGGTTATTCCTCAGGGAACTTGGGTATGAGGTAAGTGCATTATATTATTATTCTTGTAATTAAGTAATTCATAAACAATAAACAAGGTAAAGTGATTATTATTTTAAATTAAAAATATTTCAAGCTTCACATAAATGTCCAAAATAGAAAATAATATTTCCATATTATTAAAATTTCTAAAATATGAAGAAGTTTTTATTGGGTACGTTGTTAGAAGACAGGCGAAGTTAAAGTTCCTTGAATTGAAGTTAAGTTAATTATGAGATTAAGCTGAACGACGGTTAAGGTAAGACATTGATTGGTTTCACAGAAATACGCAACCGCGTTCGAGAAGGAGAAGGTCGGCATGGTGGAGCTTCCTTACCTAAGCGAGGAGAGGCTGCAAAAGATGGGAGTACCGTTGGGACCCCGGCTCAGGATCCTGCAGGAGGCGAGGATATCGGTTTGCAAGGATCCAATTTACGTTGTCTGACTCGTATGTACGCGCGCGCGTATGTGAACGTGTGTATGCGTGTGCTTGTGTGTATGTGTATTTTTTCTGTGTGTATGCGTGCGTGGATCGCTCAGGGATAAAGTTGAAACTGGTATGAAGGCGAATGAAAAATGAAAAAAGTTCTCGGGTCGTTTCGCGCTGTGACCGTGAACGTTTAAAGAACACTTAGAGATCCATTCGTTATTGAATAATCCAAAGAAGATTAAAAATAGATTCGAAATAAAGTATTCAATGTCATCGTGCAATGGGAATATTGAATTCTGTTCGATATTAATGTACAGTTTGGATATTAAATATAATAGTAAATATAAATTAGTATAAAATTTAAATCGATATCTTAAAGAATGAAAATTTAGGTTTTGATTTTTACTAGAATGGAACGAACACTGTATGAGACAAATAATTGTTCTCTGTTGTTAATTATTACGGGAATGAAGCGGGTGAAGTGAAATCGAAGAATTAAACATTTGTTATATTTAATAGACGGATTAAGCAATTAGTTAATTAATCGTATTACTAAGTAACGAACTAAATATCAGGTGTCTCATTATTTTGTTATTGGTGAAAATGTGTTATTTAAACGGATAAAATAACAACGAGCAATAATGATTATTAAAGACTTAACTGTATACATACTAATCGCACGTTATTTCTGCGTATCATTCGACCAAGTTTACATAATTTATTATAAATTATTGATGATACGAGAGTGGAATACGTATAATTTGTACACAGAAACGATAGTCTGGCTCGTGTACCATTCGATTAAGTTAATTATTGATATCTTAATTATTATTATTAATATAAAATTGTTATCGGTACATTAAAAGTGTAAATAAAAGTTTTTTTCATGCGAGTTATCCGCCGCCACGATCTACTGCGATCTGTTTATTCGACCGTAGAAACAATCTTAATCGTTAATAGGTCAGTCAAGTGAACTGTACCACTTGTAGCAACTAACACCAGATCCCTACGTTCATACTTAATCTATCACTCGGACATGCATTTACATAGTCCGAGTGATAGATTAAGTATGAACGTAGGGATCGATTCGAATCGATCTTGGCCAATTGTCATTAATCGAGGGAACGAGCTTAATAAGAAATGTGAACATAGATCGAAAATCAATCGATGAGTTTTATTCATCAATTACGATACCAAATCATACCATTTACGACCATTGAGCATCGTTGAAAATATCTTTCGAATCGAAAGGATGAGAAAAATGTATAGACAGGGCACGTTCGAAATTTTGGTCATGAGACCACCACTTCCGGTCCCTCTCATCAGGAAATGCACAATTTAACAATTTAACAATTGCGTCCAATTATTTTTTCCAGAGGCCTCCGGGCCTTTCTTTGATTAGCCTTTGCGGCGGTTCCTTTACCAGCACATCAATTATTTAATTTCCTTTCTATTGGATAAAAAATCTTCTTCAGGCATTCATATAAATTAAATAAAATTAAATACTTCAATGAAGCGATCAATTTTATATATATTATTCAATGAGTATTGTATTATTTTGTATACGCGAGAATTGGAACGATCGACGCCAATGCTGTTTCTCAAATTTGTACACGCGTAGCTTCCTAAGATACAATTTCAATTAACCTACGATGACCCCCTCGCTCCGTGGGCTCTTGGGTATTTACGGCTTCTGGTATCGCAGCCGGAGCTCCGAGCACAGTAAGCGCAGTTCGCAGACGAACGCCGCGACGTTCATCTCTCGTTCACATCGCGAAGACCCGTGCCGTCGACGATGACCCGCGATAGCGTGACGCTGTTCTCGTTTATCTTCTGTCTCCTCTTCCTGGGACTGTACCACGTCGAAGGAGAGCTCGTCCAGTGGGGGCCGTGTTCTTATCCCGAGGGTGAGCATCGATTTTTCTAATTTATAATCAATTTTCCAAGGTTGTTCGACACCCGTAACATCGAATTAATTAAATCTCTGCTGTGTAAAATCGATATGCCAAACTCGGAATGGTATTGGTTCTGATTTTATTGATATTTATTGATAGAAATTGTAGGAAATCCATTTTTATTACTTGATATTTACGTTCTTTTAATATTGGAATTATTGGCGTCAATTCTAAAAACGTGCAGTTCGCAAAATTTTTGCAGACTTACACTTTTTCCAGTTTTCAATATCTTTTTTATATAAAGATTGAATTTCTATATGAAACGTAAATATGTAATATGAACCGACTGCACTTATTATAGATATATTTAATGTTAACGAATGCTGAGTTATAATATAATAGATGTCTTTTAATGTTAACGAATGCTGAGTTCAGTGATAACATGAGATAATTCAAAGTCCACTTACTTGTTTTATCAAAGGCGTTACACCATCGAATTGTACGGTACACGAAGTGAACATAGACCCGTGTAAAGAGGCTGCTGAGAACAAACCATGTAAATTAAAAAGGGGAATCGTCGGGAACATGACGTTCCATTATACACCTAGTAAGCATTTTCACGTAGTTACGTGCAGTTCAAATCTCGTGTCTTCATTCCATCAATCAATTACGATAAATTATATTTTTTTTTAGCATTCTCGTCGGACAAATTAGAGGGTAGAATATATTGGGTCAGTCAGCTGGCGGATATCCCATTTCTGGGCTTGAATTCCAACGCTTGTTTAATGACCAACTGCCCCATCGAGGCTGGCCAGAAGAACATATACCGCGTGCAAGTACCGATTTTGAAAGAATATCCAGTCGTAAGTATCACAAAAAAAAAAAAATAATTACTTACTAATTCAGTTTTGAAATAATTCCAAATAGAGAATCTGTGAAAAATTCTAAGAGTCTAACTTTCGTTTCAGCGGACGTATAATTTGAAATGGAAAATCTGGAACGACCAGGAGGAAGAGTGTTGCTTCCAGTATCAAATTAAAATAACTAAATAAGAAACATTGTAACACTAATAGCCCGCGGACGGTAATAAAAAGATTACATTTCGTTTATTTTACTTAATTCGATAAAATTCAACGACAGAACCTCTCCTCGTCCCTCTCCCTGTTATTCTCTTATAAATACATAAACTAGTATTTTGTTTTAAATGTATTTCGAGTAGAAAGAAATCTGCCATCGTCATAAGCCTTGACATTCTCATTAATTGATTTATTACGCTCGTTCCTTCGATCAATAATAATTCATCAACACCGGTTTGAATCAATTTATTGATTCCTTGTGTTGCATACCAATGAAATGCACATCTGACAAGACAGAGACGGAATAATAAAATATTGCACGAATTATTTTATGAAATATTCTACTCCATCGATTTGAATATATCGATGGAGTAGAATAAAAAATCTTCTATTATTGATTAATACAATAAAAACGAAAAAAAGATCGCTGCGGATAGGATTCGAACCTATGCGGGAACAACCAACCCATTGGATTTCGAGTCCAACTCCTTAACCACTCGGACACCGCAGCTGTTGCAATTCTACCCTTAAAGATAACAATTTATACACTTCGTTCTAATTTACTGAATGACTGAACTAAAATGAATACTAACACTAAATCGAGATATATAAATCAACTAAATTGAAATTATATTCGTATTTGTTTTTATTCGAAGACTGATGGCCTTTCGGGATACAGGGAATTACATTCGTAATTTATT